AAAGAATCTCACGGTCGCGTAACGGTAAACATGGACAGGCTTTCAAGTCGGGTGTCGTCCCTTTGTAATCTTCAAAGGACATGTATCAGCCTAGTGATTGGTCAGTTTTTGTTTACCTGAGACCAATCAAACAGCTGTTTTTATGCCTTCAATTTTGCTCTGACATATCCTCGGGCTGCAGAGAGCGTTAGTGAGCGTAACCCCTTGATAGTGTCAGTTGACAGCTAGTGTCATTATTGTAGACGGATGATGAGACAGAGGCCACAACCTGGTCACAATTGGGGCATAAATTTATTTTTGTTTCTTTCAATGTCAGCTTAACGGAAGAAAACGCCGATTTTACTTGATCAACATAAGTCACTTTTACTTTTACACATATAACCAAAGCATAACTGTTCAAGTATATGAAATGGCTTTTATAGTGAAGAATAAAACAAGGAAAAGATTGAAATTGGAGGAACGATTGATTACATAAGAAACAGCAGGAGTGATATAATTATTAAGGTTTTGTGATACTCCGGGAGTGCTTCACTCCCCAGAGTGAGAAACGGAAAGTAATCGAATATCGGTGTCTCTTGATTTATTTATGTATATATGTATTTCTATTATCATCATATTATCTGTGTTATATCCTTGTCAACCCCGTATCAGGAAAATATTAACACGACTGAGTGTAATCGGTATGATGGCACCGAAGATACAAACGTGTGTGCGTTCAGATAATCTCAGAAGGATTTGTACTGAGTTTTGTGGGTTATTATCAGTCACCACACTTATTCCGAAGTATAATAGTAAAAACGGCCTAAAGGTGATTTTGTTCTAATGCTTTTGGTTTCTTTTTTCTATACTTATGCCTTAGAGTAATAAGAAGAGATATCAGAACGTGTTCCGATGACGGCCCACCTAGTGGCCCGAAACACGTAAACACTGGATGACGGCCCACCTAGTGGCCCGAAACACGTACACACTGGATGACGGCCCACCTAGTGGCCCGAAACCCGTAAACACTGGATGACGGCCCACCTAGTGGCCTGAAACACGTAAACACTGGATGCCGGCCACCTAGTGGCTCGAAACACGTAAACACTAGATGACGGCCCACCTAGTGGCCCGAAACACGTAAATACTGAATGACGACCCGCCTAGTGGCCCGAAACACGTAATCACGGGATGACGGCCCACCTAGTGGCCCGAAACACGTAAATACTGAATGACGACCCGCCTAGTGGCCCGAAACACGTAATCACGGGATGACGGCCCACCTAGTGGCCCGAAACACGTACACACTGGATGGCGGCCCACCTAGTGGCCCGAAATACGTAAACACTGGATGACGGCCCACCTAGTGGCCCGAAACACGTAAACACTGGATGACGGCCCACCTAGTGGCCCGAAACACGTAAACACTGGATGACGGCCCACCTAGTGGCCCGAAACACGTAA